ATCCCTTAATCTCAATTAGGAGGTGAGAGGTGAATTTTTAATTACCGGGAGTCACTGTGCGCCGCGAAACTATTATTTTTCTCACTGGCCCATGACTTCCATGTCAGTTTATATTTTTTTTGTTACAGAGATTAAGGGATGAAGNTGTTAGACCTTCGTTCATTGGAATACTCCGGACTCACTCGACGCCGGAGAACCGTTCGGCGTTTCTCCGCGCTTTTGAAAATTCATTGCCCCGTTCCTAACTGAGATTAAGAAATGAAACCGATGTTATTTATTAAAAATATAATTCTCAATCGGTAAGCTTTGGTTTCATTACTTCATCTCAATTAGGGAGGGAAGAAATTAATTTTTGAATGAGAAGAACTTGTTCGGAGTTCTGCGCGTTTTGAAAATTCATTCCTCCTCTCCTAATAGAGACTAAGGGAATGAAACCACTGTCATTTATTGAGAATATTATTCTCGATCGATAGATGTTGCGTTCATTCCCTCTTCGCAATTAGGGGAGGGGCGGGGGAGAAATGAAGTTTCTAATCGGGGGAGCCCCTCCGCGCTCACTCGACGCCGGAGAACCCCGTTCGGGGTTGCTCCGCGCTTTTGAAAATTAATTCCTCCGTTCCTACTTGAGTAGGATAGGATAGAATTTCCCGAAGATTCCAAAAAGCTTCATTGTTCTTCGTGCATGAAAAATGGGGATCTTCGGGAAACTCCTTGCGATCGCAAGACTTTTACCGATTTATTTTTCTCCGTGTGACGTCCGTATAGAAGATCAAAAAATCAATTTAATAATAGGATAAATGGAGTGGAGATAAAAACGTGAATATCTCGGAAATTAGATGCGATAAAATGGGCCCTTTTCACGTGGACGTACACATATAATTGGACTGAAATTTATAGAAATTTTTAATTTGCAATGACGAAATACCTTGAAATTTTCGTATTACGGCAACGCGATAAAACATCCCAATAAGTGTTCCCGGAATTTCCGCGAAAATATTACTGAAACCTACAGACATCATTCCTGAATTCAAGACTTTCCTTTGCTTTTCAGGATTATGTCACTAGAAATTTTTTACAAAATGACTCAATTTTAACATTGCTTGCTCATTGCATTTCAGAAATGCAGCTGCCTAAAAAAGACACATCGATTCCTAGGAACGACGTTTTTTTTTCTCGGTAAATACAGACAATAGAGAAATGTCAGAGTGGAATTCCCTGATTTTTTTTCACTCTCGATTAATTTTTTAAAGATTTAAATTGATACTTGATTCATTCACATCATTCCATTCTATCGGGAGATATTGTCGATTGGAGCCAATTTTTTATGGTCACTGAAGGAGGCACACCATTCATCTAAATCTCACAATAATCTGCGAAAAATCTTATTCATTAATCTATTATTATTGAATTAATCCCATTATGTGTAGATCGCTGGAGAACAACGAAAACGTTCCAACCGTTCAAACGAGTTGGAATGTTTTCTCTTTCCTTCTTCTCCATTTTCTTACTCACTCGCACTCGTTAAGTTTGGCGGAGGACGGGCACGTGCCAACGCGACGGAGACGATAATGAGTGGGAGTGAGCGCGATACATATTCTTTTCTCACTCAGGGGGGTAATAAATATATATAATCGAACATTACTATAGTAAAAAAAAAACAAAATCTGCACAATTATTCAATAGAATCACTGGAAAACTATAGAGTTTTCCAGCGACAGCGCTGGGATTTTCTATGAACTTTTTGACCTACGTGTCAATAATAAATATGTCGCTAAAAAGCAAAAGACTTTTTCATCACACTGTGACGAAAAGTGAACTTTTCGGCACGCTCCGCGTGCCTAAAGTCCAATTTCCGCCACATTGTGATGAAAAATATTTTTCATCACGCTGTAACGAAAAGTGAACCTTTCGGCATGCTCCGCGTGCCTAAAAGTCCAATTTCCGCCACATTGTGATGAAAAATATTTTTCATCACGCTGTAACGAAAAGTGAACCTTTCGGCATGCTCCGCGTGCCTAAAAGTCCAATTTCCGCCACATTGTGATGAAAAATATTTTTCATCACGCTGTAACGAAAAGTGAACCTTTCGGCATGCTCCGCGTGCCTAAAAGTCCAATTTCCGCCACATTGTGATGAAAAATATTTTTCATCACGCTGTAACGAAAAGTGAACCTTTCGGCATGCTCCGCGTGCCTAAAAGTCCAATTTCCGCCACATTGTGATGAAAAATATTTTTCATCACGCTGTAACGAAAAGTGAACCTTTCGGCATGCTCCGCGTGCCTAAAAGTCCAATTTCCGCCACATTGTGATGAAAAATATTGTTCGTAACTCGTGAAAAAATGTTTTTTAGCTCGTGGGATTATACCTCCCACTCGCCAAAAAACACTTTTTTGCACTCGTTACGAAATATACTATTATTCGCATTATTATACTATTATTATACTATTATTCGCACTCGTTACAAAATATACTATACTATTATTAAATATACACTATAACCTCCCACTCGCCAAAAAACACTTTTCGTGAGAAGACCCGGTAAACCGCGATTCTAACCTCGCTTCGCTCGGTTTGATCGCGGTTTACGGGCCTTCTGACAAAAAATTGCATTCATCACACGGTCCAAAAGTATTTTCTGACGAATGTGATTATAGGCCGAGCCTTCGGCTCAGCCTACAAAGCCACATTCGTCAGAAAATACTTTGTGGACCTTGTGATGAAAATAACTATTTTTGCAGTCGTTACGAAATATACTACTAGATCATTAGATTCTGCATTCATTATACTATTGATTATAATATGTTCGATTTTACACTCCTGACAATTATTACAAAATGCGGGGAGCTACCGTATTGAGAACCCCTTTCCGGTTACCGACAAATTCATACTCGGGCCCTACCATACCAACAGTTCCGTACGGTCCATCGTAGTCCATGCGCCACCGCTACGAATTTTGCTGTTGAACACTTTACATTGGCCCTGCTGATCTCCCCTATAATCTCTGGTCGAGCCTCCTGCCACCGTGGACATCAAGCAAGATGGGTTCAGAAATTGACATAACATAAAAACTCTGCTATAATTTGAATACAAAGTGTATTAAAACCTTGAGATATGGAGTACTTCAAAAGTAGTTTGAAATCAGTCTTAGGAGCCCCGTACCCAGACACTCAGCCCACGGGAGCAGACACGGTGAGATCCCGTTTTATACCATAAATACCTGCTTGGTTAAAGAATATTTATGTAATAACCAAATGCTTCGTTGACAGTCAAACAGTAAACATATTATTCATTATTGAATAATATGTTTACTGTTTGGCTGTCATTTTTGCCATATTTACTCAAACACTGGAAAAAAATAATTCATATCTTCTCATGCTCCAAGATTACAATTTCGTTTTTTTAAGGATTTCACTTACTTAATTAACGATTTTACAGGTTGAAAGACTAGTAGACAGACTGCAATCATCCAGCCTCCTGGATGATAGAAGAGATGCCTGCCGAGCCCTGAAAGCGCTCTCTCGAGCTTACAGAGTTGAGGTGGGCGCCCAAGGGATGGACACCCTCAGACAAGTCCTTGAAATGGATAGGACAGATTGTGAGATAGTTGGAGTAGCTCTTGATACATTGTGCAACATCACGAGTCCAGAAACGTTCGATGAAGAAGGTGAACAGATAAAAAAAAACATAATTTGTTATAGGAAATTTTGAGAAAGCGGTCCTAAGAAATATACCAAAAGAGGTTTTCAAACTATTTCCTCTAAATCCAATAGATTCCGAGATATTGAAGAAGGAAATTCACATAAAAGCCTGAAATGCATCTATTAGATCTTTCTCGTCTCATCTGCCCTTATTCATCAAATATTCCCTGAAAGAAGGGATTCAGACGAGGAAATTCATCGAGAGACCCCTGTCTATAATCCATTCCGTTCTCTACAAAACTGTTTTTTTTTTACATTCGTTGTTTAATTCATTAGTTCTCAAGACATTTTTAAAATAATCGACTAAAATAATACATTATGCCATCAGGCGATAAAAGTATTATCTGACGAATGTGATTTTACCTCGCCTTTTGCTGGGATTATAATTACATGAGTCAGATAATGCTTTTACTGCCGTGTGATATACAATATTTTTTGTCTTTGCGCCCAAAAACTGCGATCTAAACGAGCGAAGCGAGATTAGAATCGCGGTTTATCGTGTCTAATAACATAAATTTTTTAACTCATCTCATAAGTCATCCCCCAATCTACCTGTCCCTCAATCTGTCATCAGGTATCTCGAAATAGATGCTTTTTTGGCTGAAAATTTAATGGTCTCTAATGAAACTAATCAAAAATTAATCTCTGAAATCACTTGATCTTGACAAATTTCTAGAGTTCTTCCCTCCAAAAGCGTGCGATCATGTAGATAAATTTCTCTCACTCAATTTACCAAATATCTAGATATTTTCGTCCCCTGAATGCTTTCCTTCTCTTCATATCTCTCCAAAAATTTTGAACTGATCGCTCTAACTCCTCCCATTAACTTCTCTCAACCTAGTCGACAAGCACGGTCCTGACTCCAAGATTGGCGAGCAATTCACCGAGATCTTCATAAAACAACAAGACAGCGTGCCCCTCGTCCTGTCCTGCCTGGAAGACTTCGATTTCCGGGTACGTTGGCCGGCTTTGAAACTGCTAACCCATCTCCTCTCAAATCGGCCGAAAGACATCCAAGAAATCATTCTCGTTAGCAGAATGGGCGTTTCCCGGTTGATGGACCTACTCATCGACACCCGCGAGGTCATTCGTAATGACGCCCTCCTTCTCCTAATACAACTAACCAAAGGTAACGCGAATATTCAGAAAATCGTGGCATTTGAAAACGCCTTCGATCGCATCTTCGACGTGATTGCCCAAGAGGATGGCGTGGAAGGAGGTATAGTCGTTGAGGACTGTCTTCTACTCATGCTTAATCTAATTCGCAATAATGTGAGCAATCAGAACTTTTTCAAGGAGGGCAGCTATATCCAAAGATTGACTCCAATGTTCCAACTTCCACCGGACTCCGAAGACACACCTTTATCAGGTTGGAGTCCCCAGAAAGTAGCAAATGTCCACTGCATGGTGCAAGTGGTTCGAGCTCTGGTGGCCCCGAGTAACCAGACCCAAATAGTTGCGGCCTGTCAGAAGATAATGCATTGTTGTGGCCTCCTCCAGGCTCTCTGTGATATACTGATGGCCTCTGGAGTTCCTGCAGATGTTCTGACAGAAACAATAAATGCAGTGGCTGAGGTAATCCGAGGAAACATCACGAACCAGGAGTTTCTAGCTAGCGTCACGGCGCCTTGCAGCCCTCCACGACCAGCCATAGTCGTTCTCCTGATGTCAATGGTCAACGAGAAACAACCTTTTGTTCTTAGATGTGCAGTTCTCTACTGCTTCCAATGCTTCTTGTATAAAAACGAAGTGGGACAGACTCAGCTGGTGCAGACGTTATTACCCCAGACCAACGAACTCCCTTCCCTGACGACAGGTCAGCTATTGTGCGGAGGGTTATTCTCCCCTGATCCTTTGTCGAATTGGTTTTCAGCTGTTGCTCTCTCGCATGCATTGATCGATAATATTAGCCAGAAAGAGCAGTTGTTGAGGGTTCTATTAGCTACAAACATTGGAAAACCACCGGTAACTCTGCTTCAGCAATGCGTCATGCTTCTTCAGCAAGGTAATATGATAAAGTAGAGGGTATAAATCACATAGTAATTATATCGGTCAACTCACATGCGACAACTTTTGCGTTGAAATCCTAGCAGATTACAGTGAAGACTAATCAATCGAAATATTAATCAATTATGTGTTCACTTTGGTGGTATTTCAAGTTATATATACTCTAGTAATATTAGTGAAAATTCCACCCTCAATGTGTTAGGCGCTGATACTCACTAATACCGTCTATATTCATTTCATTATATTCCAGGTAACAAACCCCAATGCAAATTAGGATTACTGATCCTTCTCTGCAGGTGGACTTCAAACTGCCCAACAGCTGTCAAAAAGTTCCTAGCTATTGATTCTTCAATCGCTTACCTCACAGCTTTATTGTCTTCTCATGAGAATAATGAAGATCTCCATGAGATACTGATCCAGAGCATATGCGCTCTATTAATAGGCATTTGTGTACATTTCAATGAAGATGATGTCCCTAATTACAGTAAGGAAAAGCTATGTGCACTGATAGAAAACAGAATCGGGCTCGAGAGGTTCCAAGACGCCATTGGTGGGATCTCAAGACACGAAATTTATTCAAGGACTCTTAAGCATCCTCAACCCTCAGCGAAGACTTCAGGAGATTTGCTGTTGGATCATGAGTTTTGCAGGCTGCTGAAGAAGATCGAGGGGACCATTTTAGAGACAGTGTTAAAAGGGTCACATTCCAGTAAGGATTTAATTACGAGTCTCTCATCGTCTGACTCCGCGCTAGTTTCGCAGTACAAGGATGTGATCAGAGAACAGGATGTGCAAATACAGAATCTAAAGATAAAAAATGGGGTTTTCATGAAGGAGAAGGGAGAGTTGGAGGAGAGGGTGAGGGAGTTGGAGGCAGAGGTAGGAAATCTTAAGGACCAGAATTTAATTCTTCGAGCTGCTCAGATTGATACTCGAGAAAATGGCAGAAATGTAAAAGGGTTGATGAATCATAAGGGAGATGAGGAGGAGGTGGAAAGTTATAGTAGGACCGTGAGAAAGCTCGAAGAGAGGCTTGCGGAGTATGTCCTGAAGGTAAGAGAGATTGAGGAAAGTGGAGAGAGGCGAAGGAAGGTGGAAAAGGAGCTGAAGGAAAGGACTGAAGAACTGGAGAAGGTCAAAAAAGATCAGGATGATTTGCTAGAACTGCTGGCTGATCAGGATAATAAAATTAGTGTTTTTAAGGAGAGGCTGGTTGCTCTAGGAGAGAAAGTCGAATCTGAAGAGAGCTCGGGGGAGATTGATACTGATGAACAACCGGAATCCAGTAATTGAGAGGTTGAAAACAATCTGCACAATAGTTAAATATTAATATGAGTCTTGAACGTAGCAGTAAAGTGGTTTGATGAGGGGATTTTTCAAAGATTCCTGAGTGAATTTGGGATCATCTCGGTAGAAGAAAATGGTTTAGAAGAAAACATCAAAAGACCTTCATTGCAACTGGTGAAATTTCGAACGAACATTGCCCTCTAACATTCCCTAAAACATTATTAATTTTCATTTTAAAGTACTTCCTCAGTATATAAACACAAAAGAATTTTTACCTATAAAGGTAGGAATAATTTTGTGATATGGTAAAGACACAAAATGTGGATTTTTGGTTGTTTGGTACGTGAACACAAGTTACCAAAATTTCAAAGGTTTTAATTATGTCACTTCTGAAATATGCTTCTTCCGACATGGTGAAAAGATGGAAAGTAAATGTTTGACACTACATGTCTAGGAAGCGGCGTTGTTGATGTCCCTGAAGTTTTGATAATCAATTTTCAACGTCTATTGCGACATTTTTATTACCTATAGACACGGAAAAAGTACCTCAATAGATGAGAAAAGGCCATCGATTCTTAAAAAAATTCAAATAAATTTTTTCTTAAAAGTTAGAAGAAATAGTTTAGTTAGTTTGCAAAACTAATGTCAATGTGGGTTTGAGAAAAAATTTCTGAATCTGTTTTTATAGATGAAAATGATTAAATATCCATAAACAAATGTCTTCTGTCATTTTCTCCTAAAAATATTCGGTGTCGAGATAATTCATCAAGTGAAGAAAATTAAATAGATCAAGTTTCACATTTTGTTGATTTAAGACCTGGGTGGATTATCTTTCGAACGTGATCTTGGTTTTTCTTATTTTGATAATCTGAAATGCTCTCAATTGCTATTCAGTTTTACACAGCCCTGGAGTCTCCAAAAATTATGATAGTACAATAAAAAAAACGTTGAAAAAAAGCTGAACATTTTCAACGAGCCGTTTTGAATAATATTTAGAAATAAAACCAATAGGGAGGAAATTGGAAATTAATTATTTGATGTATTTAATAGCTGTTAGGTCGTCATTTGTCACAGTAGTCAATGGCTGTCAGATCGTTAGTTACCATTATAAATTATCTATTTACTATTTTCTCTCTATCGGACTTATTTCTTAAGCTTTATTAAAAACGCTCTTTGAAAATGTTCAGTTTTTTTGTCTACTTTTTTTGATTGTGCAATCATAAGTTTTAGGGACTTCTGCGTGATGTAAAATCCAATGGAAATTGTGATATATTTTACATTATGAAGATGGAAAAACCATCGAGATAATGTTCGAAAGAGAATCTACCCAGGCCTTGACCTCTTTTTTAAGGCAATAATTACCGTGACATCTTTTGACATTTTCTTCTAATTTAGTCACTGCCGAGGTGAACGAAAATAAGTGATAGAAAAAAAAACTAGACACTTTGCTGCGGAAATAAATTTCAAAGGTTTGAATCGAATTATAGTCATTTTTTCTGTTTTGTATATGAAAAGTGAATCGTAATTAACTTCTTTGTAATTTTATTTGAATATTATCTGAGAATTATCGATTGTGACTAATGTACAGTTGACGAAAACATTAAATATAAAATATCTATGAATTCTGTTATCATTTCATTGATATTAACATTTTTTAATCATTTATTGGGGATGATTTCATCATACATAACTTTAGACATCCTCCGAATGGTTCCCTTTATAGTTTCAAATTAAAAAATCATGATTTATAAATAACCAATCATACTAAGCCATAACAGAATCCTACGTATTTACACGTTTTACTTAATTATCGTAAAGTAGCTTTTCTAGTTGGAATAGGGCTGATGTTCCTTGAGAACTGCTTGGACACATTTAGCCATTGTTGGGGAGGCTCGGGAGATTACATCAGTCCTGAAGAACTGGTCAAGGGATTTTTGCTTTATGTCTACTGGGTTTTGGAGGAACGAACCTCCAGTTTTCTAAAAAGAAAAAAAAATCAATTTTTTTTTACCTTTATTTAGAAGATTTCTATGAATTTTCAGTAACTATTTTATTTCTTTTACGTACCTTTGATAATTCCAATGCTTGAGTGAAAAAATTCGCGGGTTCAACATCACCATATCTGACTAAATGTGGAGCAACCTCTTCAAGTCTCGACCGAACGCCAGCAATAGTATCATAAGGTAATTCAACTCCAGAGAACTGAAATTTTTTTTTCAAGAAAATTGATATTAAAATATCAAAGATACCTATATTTTAATTTTATACCAGGTTAATTGACATTTGCAATCATTTGATTATTCAAACTTTTTGGATTCTGTGCAAAACCCGAGAGGGTATACGAAACAACAAAAATTTTTTAAATATAAATGGCTTGTAGTACCTAAAAACATAAAAAGATTCATTTTTTCAATTATTTCATTTTTTTAGAAATCCGAGATTAATGGCTATTGAATTACAAGGAAATTCAAATGAATTGTTTAATTGCATGAATTATAAATCGATTTTTCGTCCTTATTTATTTATTACGGGCAAAAATGGCCGCCAATAAGTGAGTCTCTAATTTTCTAATAGAACTAACAATCAACTACCTACTATTAAGCGGAAACTTCCAATTAAAAGGGATAACGACCTTTTGTTTTTCCATGTAATGAACATTTTATTAAATGAAACATTCCATTAAAAGGGATAACGGGGTGGAAAACATAGAAAAATTCATTGATTACCTCAGCAAGAGCTCGAAGAATCTTCCAATCAGGACGTGCCATTCCTGGGGGAGTTATAGCAGCACCAGTCTGCTGTACACGACCCTCAGTATTGACATAGCTGCCTGTTTTCTCTGTGTATGCAGCCCCAGCGAAGACAACATCAGCTATTGTTGCCCCACGATCTCCATGGCTTCCTGTTAAGTGAATTTTTAAAAAATCACATTTTGATTAATTTTATGTCTTGCACTTCACATCGGAAATATCATCTAAACAAAGAGGTTTTCGGAAAAGAGAGATAGTTTTTAATAAAAAAACTCCGTGAATTAAAAAAAGAATCTCTTAACGTTTTGTCATATAATAGTATAATAGTTGGTAATTTTCTCATTTCAACTCACTGAATGCCAAATTATCTTATTGAATTATATGAAGAGATCTTTTCTGTAACCATGAAATTCTCTATATAAAAGATATATTAGGAAAAGTTTATGAATGTAATCTTTATAGTTACCTAGGTAAATTATGAAAGTATTCGGAAATTCTTCTCTTGTAATGTTCGAGTCATCAGCACCAAGGAGGAACAATACTTTTGGCTGAAGACTCTTCACATCTTCTAGAGTAGATCCATACCCAATGTCCAAAGCGGCAACTTGCGAAGCATTTGTATGGAGAACATTCAAGACTTTCCAATCAGTGGGAGCCTAAATTGATAAAAATTATTATCTTGAACATATAGAGAGAATTTGAAGGACGTTCAGAGAAGAACCTGTTTGGCATACTTTTGTTGTATTCCCAAGAGTGTTTGCCAATTCTTGAGCTGTACATAATATCTTTGCACCATCTTTCCGCCCAAATTGCTCGGCTCCGAGGATAATTAATGGTTTCTTCGCTTTTTTTAGAGTTTCACTGAATGGATGTTGACCACTTTTTAGTTGATCCAGTACATTGGCTGACTGTCCCAAATGCTAAAATATAAAATCCAAAATCTTAAATTTAGTTTATGATTTTATTAATTATCAGCTACTAAATCATGTAGATTATCATTGTTGATAATGCTGTTGAAAAATGTCAAGAGAAAAACTTCCTTAGACATTTTTGAATGTTCAATTACCTCATAATCATAAGTAAGATCGACCTTCGGCCCAATCAGTCCAATAGTCTGTTCACCATGGAGATATCCCTTTCTCAGTCTGGTATTAACCAACGGAGCTTCATACCGCGGATTAGTTCCAATGAGCAATACAACGTCAGCCTCCTCGACATTTTGGATTCTATTATTCATCAGATAATTGCTCCTCAAATCGATACCAGACCCTTCCTTGGGGAAATTTTGCTCAGTAGCGAGAACCTCTCCACCCAATTTATTAAGCAGATCTTTCATAGCCATCAGTGCTTCAGCATCAGCCAATTTCCCAGTGATGACAGCACTCTTTCCAGATGGAACATCCTGGAGGCCACGAGCTGCAGCCATTAAAGCATCTTCCCACTCAACATTCTCCAATTTACCATTGACTCTCATCATAGGAGTGATGAGTCTCTGACGTTTCAATCCATCATAAGAGAATCTCGCTTTATCTGAGATCCATTCTTCATTGACTTCCTCATTAACTCTCGGTAGGATCCTCAAGACTTCCCCAGTTCTGCTGGACACCACAATATTGCTTCCAACAGCGTCAGAGATGTCAATGCTATCTGTTCTACGAGTCTCCCAAGGTCTCGCAACAAAAGCGTAGGGTTTGCTTGTCAAAGCTCCCACTGGACACAAATCGATGATATTCCCTGATAATTCAGACAAGAACAACTTTTCCACATATGTCCCTACTTGCATATCATTACCCCGCCCAGTGGTACCCAAATCGTCGACTCCAGCGACTTCTGAAGCAAAGCGAATGCATCTGGTACAGTGGATGCAACGAGTCATCGTGGTTTTCACTAAGGGACCAATGTCCTTGTCTTCTACAGCCCGCTTGCCACTGAAGTCGATGTCCGTAAATCGACTTCGATCGTTTCCGAATGCCATACTTTGATCCTGAAGGTCACACTCGCCTCCCTGATCGCAGATGGGACAATCAAGGGGATGGTTTACAAGGAGGAACTCCATGACACCTTCACGAGCTTTTCGAGTCAAGTCTGAGTTTGTTTTCACACGCCAGCCTTTCATTACTGGCATTGCGCAGGCTGCAACAGGCTTAAACAAAAATTTTGACAAGTTGACAGATAAATCAATGTATAATATGACAAATTTCTTCAATTTTACAATTATTCGGCAATGAATGATGTTGAAAAACCATTCACAATAAATTTCCCACCTTGATCTGTTTCTCTATCTCTACAAGACACATTCTGCAGTTTCCAGCAACAGCCAATCGTTCATGATAACAGAATCTCGGTATCTCAACTCCAATTTTCGCTGCAGCCTGAAGGACAGTCGTTCCAGGTGGCACTTGCACTGGTTTGTCATCGATGAAGAGCTCGACTAGGTCTTGATCTACTTGACACTTGTTCGCTGATATTTGGATTCCAGCTACTCGCAATCTGCCTGTCGACAGACCGGCTGCCCGCACTAGGGGTAGTCGCAACATCTTCTGGAATTGGAAAGCACAATTTATAAGCCGCTGCGGGTGTTCTGTTTACTCATTTATCATTTAATTTGTTATTTGTTACGTAATGAATGCGAAATTAAGGTGAGTGGTTCTATAACCCCAATTTAATTGACACAGAGATAATTGTTATGACTGTTGGAGTTTTAAGTGATCCCTAAAGTTTTGAGAAAACCATGCATTCGAGGGGGAAAAGAATGGAGCGGTGATGAGTGGTGGAAATGGTTGTGAAATTGTGTGATTTATGTAAATTTCACTAGAAAATCCCCTTTTATAACACCTTGCACAGTTGTTGAGTAGACAACTAGTTACAATTAGGGTCCCTAGACAGGTCGCCATGTTTCCTATATTTTAGTGGAAATTTGAATACAGAATCATTATTTAGGGAGAGTTGTTGATATTTTTAGACATTAAATTAATAGAGAATAATGTATTTTTACGCCGTTTAAATCATCAAGAGATTCAATGTATTTGTGAGGTCTTCCATGACGGAATTTTCCGATAGTTGCCCTTTTCTGTCCATGTTTTCTT